GGCCTTGATTTGGAGCCGTGTGAGGACACTGAGGGCACTTGGTGTGTTCAGCTGCAGAAGAGGAGACTGAGGGGAGAGCTCATTGCAGTTCCAACTGCCTGGGCAGGGGCAGAGGAGGGGCAGGACTGAGCTCTGCTCTGGGGGGAGCAGGGACAGCCCCCAGGGAATGGCTGGAGCTGTGTCAGGGCAGGCTCAGGGTGGATCTGAGGGAAAGGTTCTTCCCCCAGAGGGTGGTTGGCACTGAACAGGCTCCCCAGGGCAGTGGGCACAGCCCCAAGGCTGCCAGAGCTGCAGGAGGGTTTGGATGATCCTCTGGGGCACTTGGGGATGATCCTGTGCAGGGACAGGAGTTGGACTGGATGATCCTTGTGGGTCCCTTCCAGCTCAGCAGATTCTCAGTGATTCTGTGATCACTGCCCTCAGGAAGGTATCAGGACCCACAGCAGGGCAGGACCCCATTCCCTGGGCACAACGAGCCCTTCAGAGGAGAAAGAAGAAGCAAAGCAGCAGAAGCCACATGAAAATGCTCTCCCAAACACTGTCACCCAGGCTGTGCACATAAAACAGAAGCTGTAACTGCAGACGAGGGCCATCTACATCAGCATAGCCCCAGGAGGCTCTGGTCTGTACCTGGCTCATGCAGCTGATGCTGCAGTGAGTTGCTGTGACCACACAGCCGCTCGCTTGCACGAGCACATTTTAGCCCAGCAGGGCTCTGGCACCAGCAGGATGAGCGATGGCATCACCAGGAGTGATGGCATGGTTTGAACACGGTGCCAGCCCGTGTCTTCTGAGCTCTGCCAGGTCTATCAGCTGATATCAGGTGAGTCACTGCCTCACTCTGGCCCTCAGCCTCCCCATTGGTAACGGGCAAGGATGGAGCTGACCTGCCTACAAAGGCACCTCACAGCCTGTTTGAGAAACCACCCCTTCTTTTTCTCTCCAGCGTTGTTTCAAAAGGAGTTTTCACCTTACTCAGGTGCTTTGGCTTCTCAGCAAAGCAAGCAGGGAGGAAATTACCCCCCAATTTCCTTGATGCTGCATGAAAGAATTGCACAGTGGTTCTGTGAGGGCTGTATGATCAATGTGGGCTACTGTGCAGTGTAGAAAGATTATTGGTGATCATTGCTGTCTGATAGAAAGGAAAAAGCAAAGCAGGCTATTTTCTGTTAAATGGGTGTGTCTGGGTCCTTGTTCAAGTTGCTCAGGGCTTGCAGTAAAGTGCAGTGCTCAGATATAATGGTTATAAAACAGTGTTAATATGTGCTGGGGGGAGTTTCATGCAAGTGATGTCTACAGCTCATAAAAATGACACTGGGGTGTATTTTACCATCCCAGCAAGAAGGGCTTGTAAAACAGCTGTGCTGGAAAGTAAATAGAATAGAAATGACTCATAGAAAGGAGCAGTTTCCCCACCGTGGAGACTCTGGGCACTGTATCACTTTTTATATTGTGCTGTATTAAGACAATTGCTTTGATCTCAGCAGTAAGGGAAGTTGGCTCAGCTCCTTTGGTTTTTGCTTAACCAAACTGAGATCTTCTGCAATAACTTTCGTGGGAGTGCTAAGAAAGAATCCCCCCCCCCCCCAAAAAAAATAAAATCAAGTGCTGGCTGGGCCCTCTCCAGCCTTGTGTTCCCTGCATGGCCAACCACACCCAGGACTGGTTCTGGGGCCTCATCCTCTCTCACCACCAGACTCTACTGGCCACAAGACCAAGGTGAGGAGACCTCTGGCCTTACCTGCTTTGAAGATCCACTCCAGGTACCCGTTGAGCTCCCGCTCGATTTGCTGCTGCCGGCGGAGCTTGAGGAAAGCTCGGCGGTTCTCCACCCGCTCGCGTTCTTTGGCAAATTCACTGTGGAGAGGCAAGAGAGAGGAAACCACCTGTCACCAGTGGCCATGGGAAACACACAGCCCTCCTTCAGCCTCTCGGACTGTGCTCGTGAAGCTCGTGAAGTCAACAGCACTCAATCAAGATTGTTTCTCTGCCTCTCTCACTCTGAAAGAACATGAAAGATTGTTTCTCTGCCTCTCTCATCCCGAAAGAACCTGCAAACTGTCCTGTGCACACATTTCTTGTGCCCTGTGGCCACACCACGGCCCATTGCAACGAGATCCTGGTGCATGGCCAGTCGTGCAATACCAATTATTATCCTCAGAGATAAAATCCACCTCTCTCCACAGCAGAATTTCCCCTGGAAGCACTAGATTAAGTGACAGAGATATCAGCACTCTTCTGAAGAGATCTGCTCTTCCATGATAGCCTTTCATTTTTCCCAGGTTTAAGAAGACTATGACAATCAGGAGTCAAATGGGAGCTGCAAGTACTCTGGGGCTGAGGTGAAATAGCTCAGATCCTCTATGCTGAGGGTAAAAATTCCTGCTATTTGCTAAAAATCACATGGAAAGCAAGTATGTGGTATCAGATTATTAGAACAGGGCTGTGCAGGGAATTCAGAAAGGAAGGTGCATCCAACCATTGCAATAATCACATCCAAGTACATCCTGCTGCCCAGTTTGAAATGATGCTGAGACAGAAGCACAGCCAGCAGCCAAAACAACCCACTCTGGGGCTTTCCCCAAGCTAATTCCTGTCACCTCTGGGAGGTTTCTGGTGCCCCAAGTGAAGATTTACATGCCCACCTGCCATTTACAGAGCTCTGCAGCCCCTCACTTTGGGCACACACTGGAGTGACTCTCACAGAGGCTTCATCTCTGTGGTTAAAATGGGATCAGGATTCTGTCCCTCTGGCACTCCAGAACTTCACTCATTCAACATCTTAACACTACTGAGTCCCTGATGTCTTCAGTTAACTGTCAATTGTTGCAAACCTGTAGTTAACCAGGGATTCTGACTAAAATCTCGTGTAATCAACACACAGATGTTCCCAAAAGCCAGCAAGGAGCAGGAGATGGGAGGAAGGAATCGGGGTAGAAGGAGCTCCAAGTGCCAGACAGCTGTACATTCCCAGTCTACACTTTGTCCTCCAGAGGTGGCACTTTTGCTTCCTTTGGCAGGACTGACCCATGGGAAAGGACTGTGAGGAGAACTTGGCTCAGCACCGACCACACGACACAGCCACCGATGGGAGAGCTGCCATCAGCCGAGCCCTTAGCTTGATGTTGGCAGCACATCCCGGTCTCCTGACTCCCCTTTCCTGTCCCCCACCTGACAGGACAGCCCACGACCCCATCCTTGGAACAGAGGAAGTGAAAACATGGCTCTGAACCGACAGCTCCTCCTTGGCATTCAGCACATCCTTGCACGTGTCAGCCTGGTCACTCTTCTCCATCTCCCTTCCTGATGTTCTCATTTCTGGTTCAGTGCCTGCTGTTTTTGGGGCCATGGACCTTCTCTGAGTTTTGATTCCTCCCTGGAGCAGCAGGAAGGAGATCAGACAGCACAAGGTGACAACATGCATTTAAATCTCCAGGCGTGGAGGGGCCACGTTCAGTGTGTTACAGGCTGACGTCACCACAAACTTCCCAGAGGAGGAGACAACACCTGATAGGAAGTTTCCTGGAGGACCCCCGTGGGCAGGAAGGACAGCAGATGAGCCATGGCACTGCTCCCTCACCCCTCAGGAGCAGGGAAGGAAGAGCTCTCCTTGCAAAGCTTTTCATCCTCTGCCAGCTCCGATCCCGCCTAAGGAAAGTAAAACTACCCAGAGCTCATCCCTTTAATCACAACTTCATATTTCAGAGTCACAGAATATCCTGAGTTGGAAGTGACCCACAAGGATCACTGAGTCCAGGTCTTAAGTGAATGGCCTGTGCTTTAAATGTGTGGGAAGGTGAGGGAGAAACTGGGAGAAGCTGTAAACCTTCAGCAGTTTCTGTACAGCCACACACATGTCTCACGAGTCACCAGTAGGGAACAACTGCACCCTCCTGCTTCCTGGAACTGGCAGGTTTGGCATTCACAGAATTACAGAATTACTTGGGTTGGGAGGGACCTTAAGGATCATCTCATTCCACCCCCTCCCCTGGGCAGGGACACCTGCCACCAGCCCAGGTTGCTCCAAGCCCCGTCCAACCTGGCCTTGGACACTTCCAGGGATCCAGGGGCAGCCACAGCTTCTCTGGGCAACCTGCACACCCCTCACAGGGAGGAATTTCTTCCTAATATCCCATCTAACCTGCTCTCTGGCAGTGGGAAGCCATTCCCCCTTGTTCTGTCACTCCCTGGAGTGACTCACTTGTAAACAGTCTCTGGAGGGTCTTCCTGGCAAAAGAAGACATCACTTCTTTCTCCTGTCTTCAGGAGATGATAGAGAAGTTTGATGAAGCTGGCACTTGTTAAAAAACTGTTTTCTATATGAAATGTGTTCATAAAAATGTGCGTCTCTTCCACTGCATTCATCACCATTCAGAAGCTGAAATATTCCCTCTTTGCCACCACTGGAAAACTCCCTGATTTTCCATTTGAGAGCTCTTCAACAAAATTCCAGAACACATTCAAAGAAAGGGGAGAGGAAGGGGAAGGGAATTATATCAAAATGCCATATTTAATCTAAAAATGTTTCAACTGAAGTTTTCCTGCCAGCTGTAAATGAAAACACAGAAAATCCCCTGGGAATGTTTGGGAGCAGTAAATAAGTTCCCTCTTCTATTCAGTGGAATTCCAATTTATGTCACCGACTTGTAAAAATCTCCCAAATCACCAGAAAGGAAACCTGAGCAGAAATATGTAGGAATTTCTTCATAGCTGGTCTTCCATCCTTTGGCCAATTCTGGAATGTGTTTATTGGGAGGGTGGGCAGGCCCTGGCACAGGTTGCCCAGAGAAGCTGTGGCTGCCCCTGGATCCCTGGAAGTGTCCAAGGCCAGGTTGGAGCAACCTGGGCTAGTGGGAAGTATCCCTGCCCATGGCAGGGGGGTGGAACGAGATGAGCTTTAAGGTTCCTTCCAACCCAAACTATTCCATGATTTTATGGTTCACCCCTTGGCTCTCATCACCCAAAAAGCCCCCAAAGCCCTCCAAATGTTCATCTTCCAGCGTGTTCAGCTGGGCATGAAGAGCTGAAAGGTCATGGCTCCTGCACAGCACAACAGCACGAGGTGCTGGGGGGTGACTGGGCTGCCTTTCAGCTCCTCTGTGACAGTAACAGCAGGAACAACCAGGATCCAAAGGAAGGACATCCATCCTGGAAAGCACACGCCAGCCAAGTGGAGCTCAGCGTGTCACATTCGTCTTCTCGAGAGTGGTCGGTGCTTACCAGGAAAATGGATGGTTGTTGCTTATCACTGTGGTGGGTGGAGGAGTAACATAAATCTCAGTGTAAATATGCACTGAAAGAGCCACTTCAGGGCAATTTAAGAGCCCCCCAAGTCACAGAAGAGGCAGAGTCAGCTCACAAGTAACCATCGGAGTCAGTGAACATCATGAACTAACGAAATTCTTACAAGTCCTTTATCCACGCTGGTCTTAAATTAAAAATATTGTCCCAGCAACCAAAGAGGGAGGGGGGAAAAAAATAAACAAACGCCAATCTTCATGCCCTGAGTCTCTGATTAACCTCCCTAAGTGACAGCAGAGAGCTGGGATGGAGCATGTCCTGGTCTTGGCTTTGGTGGCACAGGCCCAGGGCCGGCGTCAGCAGCTTCCTGCAAGGCTAATCGCATCATTAAACCTCTGCCGTTCAGGTTTTCCGCTTCGAAAGCAGACAAACCGCTCCCCGCTCCCGGGGAAGAGGCCGGGAGAGATGATACAGCATCGCTGTCACCGCTCCCGCTAATCGTGCTGGTGATTAGCGGCTCGGAATGACAACACAGGTAATTAGCTCCTCGTTCCGAATAATCACACGTTCGTGCGAGCTCGTGAAGTCTCAGGTCTTTAAAAGGGGAGAAGAGCCTTCAGCCGGCGAATCTGAAGCGTTCAGAGTGAGCAGAAAGCAGCACAGATCTTGGAAGGACTCTGGCAGTGACTCCTGGAAAGCAGCTGTCGAGAAGTTTTAGAATTTTAAGCGTTCAAAATAAATTGGAGCGGGGGGGGGTGGAATCGGTTTTAGATCTCAGGTCTTCGCCAGCAACTCCTGGAAAGCAGCTGTCGAGAACTTTTCGAATCTCAAGTCTTCCAAATACAAATAAAGCAATCAGGTTTAGGGTTGGCTTCGTCTCCAGTCCAGGCACATCAAAGGAACGCTCAAAGCTGAGCCCGGGTGACATCCTGGGCCCTGGTCCTGCCTGCAGAAACGCAGCCCTGGGGAGTGCAGAGGAGCCGGGAGAGGAGCCAGAGCCTCCGAGTGGGTGAGCTGCTGGCACGGGGACCAGCCAGGACTGCAGATGTTCCACTGAGTTACTCAGGGGCCAAACCCGACTCTCCAGGTGGAGGCACAAAATTGGCCGGGACAGGAGACTTGGGGTGTGAGCTCTGCCGCGGAACGTGGAGCAGTGCCCAGGGATGCATTTGAGAGCTGTCAGCAGCCTGTTGAGCAGCCCCCACAGCCTCAGCAACAGGGAGGGACGGGCTGGAGGCAGAGGGTGGAAAACAGAGGCTGGAAAACAGCAGCTCCTCCGGCTGCCAGGCGGGAGGCAGAGCAGCATCGCACACGTGCTGCAAGAGGAGCGGCGGCACAAAATCCTGGGTTGTGCCGCCGGGGCTGCCTCGATGGGGAGAGGGGAAACCTTAAATATTCCTCTCTGCTTCAGTCCACCCCTTTTAGAGCAAAGAAAGAACCTCACAACACACTCAGTGCCCATTATCCCCTATTTGCCGCTAAGCTTTCAGCAGGAGCGACACCGAGGTACGAATTTCCCTGCGAGGCTGCAGAGAGACTGCGGAGATAAGAAGAGGCACTTGTAGCACCCCAGACATGAACAAGCTGGATGATAAGAGAGGGGAGATGAATGCAGT